AGTTAATTTCTTAGGCTATGTCGTTGAAAATGGTACCATTAAGCCAGGTGATGAGAAGACTCGAGCAGTAGCTGAATTTCCGATTCCGCGCGACAAGAAAGGAGTCCAACGATTCTTAGGGTTGACTTCGTATTTTCGTAGGTTTGTGGAAGGATACGCCGTAATTGCCAAACCGTTGTCCGACTTATTGCGCAAAGAGGTGAAATTTGAGTTTCATGACAAGCAGTTAGCAGCATTCGAAAAGCTCAAGGAAGCGTTGATCAGTGGACCAGTTTTGAAGCTCTATAATTATTCGCTTGAAACGGAGATTCACACCGATGCATCCAAGTTTGGATTTGGAGCCGTTTTGCTTCAATGAGATTCCTGTGATAATTTGTGGCATCCAGTTTTCTACATGAGCCGTAAAACCAAGCCTTGCGAGGAAAAGTATCATTTCTATGAACTCGAAGTGCTTGCAGTTATTGGAGCTTTAGTCAAGTGGCGGGTGTACGTGCTAGGGAAAAGGTTCAAGATTGTTACGGACTGTAACGCTTTTACAATGACCATGAAGAAGAAGGAGATTCCTCTCAGGGTATCTAGATTGGCGATGTATCTACAAGATTTCGACTATGAAATAGAATAAGGTCCGGCTCAAGGATGAGACATGTCGATGCGTTGAGTAGGGTGTCATGTTTCACATTGACCGACAGTTTGCTTCGTCGTTTGCGGGAGGCGCAGTTGTTAAATGATTGGACGAAGGTACTTAAGAGTGTCGTTGAGACCAGGGGCTGTGAAGATTTTTACATTGTCAACGAAGTCCTCTTCAAGGATCCGAATAAAGAGTTGCAAGTGGTTCCTTTACTCATGGAAACCGAAATCATTCAAATCAGTCACAAGCAAGGACACTTTTTGTCGAAGAAAACTCAGGACTTGATCGAAAAGTCGTACTATATTCCGAAGCTGAAGGAGAAGGTATCGCGAGTTGTCAATAGCTGCGTAGAGTGCATTCTTGTGAATGCAAAATCTGGTATGTAAGAAGGGTTCCTTACACCGATCGACAAAGGAGATAAACCGCTCGTCTCATACCATGTCTATCATGTTGGCCCAATGGAAATGACCAAAAAGCGCTACAATCATATTTTCGTCATTGTATATGCCTTTTCAAAGTATGTGTGGCTATATCCTACTCGAAGCATAAGACTTGAAGAAGTGGTTAGTTGTTTGGAGCGTCAGGCTGTTTGTTTTGGAAATCCGTACAGGATTTCCTGGACCGTGGAGCTACTTTCAGTTCCCACTTGTTCAATGCGTACTGCGATAGGGAGAAAATCCAACATTTGCTGATTGCAACAGGCGTACCTAGGGGAAACGGACAGGCAAAACGCATGCACAAAATAGTTGTTCCAATGCTATCTAAACTTAGCCATGAGAGTGCGGGGTGCTGGAATAAGCACGTAGGTAAGGTACAGCAGATAATAAACAACACAGAGCCGAGGAGTACCAAAGTTTCGCAATTTAAACTCTTAACAGGACTATATATGCGTATCTCAGGAGATGTCCAGCTCAAATCATTGATCCAGGATTGTTTGAACTCTCAGTTAGATAATGAACGCGACAAATTAAGGACGGAAGCAAGGGAAAACATTCAAAGCATTCAAGCTGAGAACAAGAAAGCTTTTGCCGCCAAAAGAAAGGTAGAAAAGAAGTTCCAACTAAACAATTTGGTAGCTATTACACGCACCCATTATGGTACTGGGTTAAAACGGGTAAAAAGGTCCTTATAAGACATCGACAGTTGCAGAATACATGAAGGCATTCGGGGCGAATCCTGCGTCAGGCGGGCCGATTGTGGGATGCGGTAGTGTCACCTTCTGATCTGATATCTTTCCCTTTCTGTACTCGAGAAGTTATAATTTGTACTCAATAGTAATAATTTGTACTCGATATCCAGTTGCGACGTGAGAAAAGTGGCAACGCACTGCCAGACACTCGCTGACAGAATCTCGCCAAGAACAGTCATAGGAGCACACTTATTTTTTGTGAAACTTAAGTTAAAAGTCAAATGTGAATAAAGTCTATCATTTTAATACATTTAAACATCAGCTTTATCTCTTACAAAAGAGGAACCTGCATTTATATCTACAATGCAATTTTAGAATTATCTTGATATCCTATGTAAAATTTATGCACATATCTCAGCAGTCCTATACTTTTCCCTTTCTAGAGAAAACCCATTTTGCTGGCTAAAAGGGTCTCAACAATTGGTTACAAAAAGACCGATTGCTTTTTTCGATTGAGCCGAACGGTCGGACCGAAACCGACAGAGAGAGAGTTTGTGAGCAACATTTTTTTCGGTTTGGTCGAGAGGAAACTGCATTAGGAAAATCGGTTGACAGTTATTTGCATGCTCTGCTTATAACTGTAGGAGTTTTTTTTTTGGTGTTAGTGTGGCCACAGCCAGTCGAGTTGCTAAGAAAGTTTCTTTTGCTATAGCGTCTTTTTCAAAACCATTTATAAAGTTCCAGCGGAACATCTTCAAGATAATGTTGTTGATTTTTATAAAATAGACTAGATTTCGAAGGTAATAAGAGCTATAGATTGCACGCATGTAAGAATTAAATCTCCCGGAGGCGATACCGAAGACACCAGTTCTGCAAGAATTGTCTCCTCTTCATCGGTATAATTTGTACCGCCAAACTTTTTTCTGCCGAAATTTTTTTTTATTAGTTTAAAATTTTGTCTATATCATCAGCTGTTAGTATGACTGTTTTATGGTATTTATCGATAGTCTTTCGACTTATTTTTGACAATTAACTCTTCTGTTGTGGTGTTGCCACCTAGTCTCAAATTAGTGCGCCTTTTATTTGGATAAATTTATCCTTCTATTAGCTAAATTCTATTTTGAAAGACGGACGAGAAAACGGCCCTAAGAGGCTATATTTTAGATCAGAAGTGCCACTTTTCTGACTGGTCGATGGAATCGGTTGGAATACTTCGTTGTCCTATAAATAAAAAATATTAAAGAATCGAGTATTACTTTAAAAGAGTAGATGTCGATTTTCGTCATGTTCCCCCAGCCCAAACCATAAGACCTAATTCTGGAAAAAATTGGGTCTGAATTGTGTGTTAGAGGACGTGTGCACTAAAAAAGGACTTTAATTCTGCTCCTAAGGACTCTTAGGACTCTCGAAAAATGCGAAATTGCTTGATTAAAACAGCAACCATTCCCACAGTTTTCAACCAAGAAGGAAGCGTTTCCGACCCCATAAAGTATATATATTCTTGATCAGGGGCACTAGCCGAGTCGAACTAGCCATGTCCGTCTGTCCGTCTGTATGAACGCTGAGATCTCGGAAACTACAAAAGCTAGAAGGTTGAGATTTCTCACACATATTCTTTTGCTTCCTACGCAGCGCAAGTTTATTTTAGGCGAGCGCCACGACCCCTTTAACGCCCACAATCGCCCACTAACGATTTTAAAATGGGTCCTGCGCCCACATCTTTAAAGATTTCCGAGAAGTATAAATGCAATTTTGTTGTGTATATTTATACCTATCGCAATGTAGAAGACATTTTTCAAATCGGACCATTCATTGAAAAGTTATACGCAATCAAAATTTATATATCTATCTCCCTCGCACTCCCTTTAGCTGAGTTACGATTATTAGTCGGGACACCAACCCGAGTACAGCGTTCGCACTCCCTTTAGCTGAATGACGGGTATTAGATAGTCGGGACACCAACCCGACTATAGCGTTCTCTCTTGTTTTATTTTAAGCTTTGTGGAAATCTTTGAAAGCCCAGAAGATGAGCCCCAACCGATTTCCAGTTGGGGCACTTAATTAATTTTTCCGCACCGATTATGCGATCGGATCCGTTTTTGGTTTAAAGTATAGAGCTATGCCATACAATCAGTAATCAGACAGACAGACAGACAGACAGACAGACAGACAGACAGACAGACAGACAGACAGACAGACAGACAGACAGACAGACAGACAGACAGACAGACAGACAGACAGACAGACAGACAGACAGACAGACAGACAGACAGACAGACAGACAGACAGACAGACAGACAGACAGACAGACAGACAGACAGACAGACAGACAGACAGACAGACAGACAGACAGACAGACAGACAGACAGACAGACAGACAGACAGACAGACAGACAGACAGACAGACAGACAGACAGACAGACAGACAGACAGACAGACAGACAGACAGACAGACAGACAGACAGACAGACAGACAGACAGACAGACAGACAGACAGACAGACAGACAGACAGACAGACAGACAGACAGACAGACAGACAGACAGACAGACAGACAGACAGACAGACAGACAGACAGACAGACAGACAGACAGACAGACAGACAGACAGACAGACAGACAGACAGACAGACAGACAGACAGACAGACAGACAGACAGACAGACAGACAGACAGACAGACAGACAGACAGACAGACAGACAGACAGACAGACAGACAGACAGACAGACAGACAGACAGACAGACAGACAGACAGACAGACAGACAGACAGACAGACAGACAGACAGACAGACAGACAGACAGACAGACAGACAGACAGACAGACAGACAGACAGACAGACAGACAGACAGACAGACAGACAGACAGACAGACAGACAGACAGACAGACAGACAGACAGACAGACAGACAGACAGACAGACAGACAGACAGACAGACAGACAGACAGACAGACAGACAGACAGACAGACAGACAGACAGACAGACAGACAGACAGACAGACAGACAGACAGACAGACAGACAGACAGACAGACAGACAGACAGACAGACAGACAGACAGACAGACAGACAGACAGACAGACAGACAGACAGACAGACAGACAGACAGACAGACAGACAGACATTTTAATGATTAAGGGGTCAAACCCAATTTTATTTTCGTTTTGTTTTTAATTAACCATGTTAACCATTTTATAATTAAAATCATTTTCGCAATTACAAAAAAAAACTTTCTAATTCTTCTCAGATTTGTGAACGGGTCAATCACCAGGGCTGGAAGGTGGTCAATGATAAACTTGGACGCATGGGCCCGTATGCCTTCAAGGGAATGCAGTGGGTGTCCTACGATGACCCAGTTACTATTCGAAAAAAGGCACAATTGGTAAGGTCATTGGACCTTGGCGGAGGTATGGTGTGGGCCCTCGATCTCGATGACTTCCGCAATCGGTGTGGAAATGGCGTGCATCCTTTGCTCCGTGAGATCCATGATGTGCTTAAGGATTCACCGAGTTTATTGGAACCACCAACAAGTAAGATAAGCATACGTTTAACTTCAGATACAATTTTTCCTTAACAAAAAATCCTAGATAGGTTGAGCTCAAATCGAAGTCTAATAATGACTATTAGGGGTTTCAATTGTGATACAAAAGTGTAAGTTGTAAAATATAATGAAAGACATTTGTTTAATCGTTGATATTCATAAAACAAGAATGAACGTAATAGTCGGGTCCGTGCCCCGTCACTCGGCTAAAGGGAGTGCGAGGGAGATGGATATATAACATTTTATTGATTGCGTATAACTTTTTAATGAATGGTCCGATTTGAAAAATATCTTCTACATTTCGATAGGTATAAATATACACGACAAAATTGCATTTACACTTCTCGGAAATCTTTAAAGGTGTGGCCGCCAGACACATTTTAAAATCGTTAGTGGGCGATTGTGGTTGTGGCGTGGCGCTCGGCTGAGATCTCAGCGTTCATACGGACAGATAGACAGACAGACAGAAAGCAGACAGACGGACATGGCTAGATCGACTCGGCTAGTGACCCTGATCAAGAATATATATACTTTATGGGGTCGGAAACGCTTCCTTTTAGCTGTTACTTACTTTTGAACGAATCTAATATACCCTTTAATCTACGCGTAACGGGTATAAATTGCGTCTTTTTAATTTATATAAAAAGTTCGCGAATTCTTACTCTTTAAATGGCTGGAAATAGACAATACATTACTTGTATTGTAGTTCATTCTTATTTTGTTTCACCAAAAATTTGGTAAAACCGCGAGTTCTCTAGCTTATTAGGCGGACAAGTTCTTGGTCACGAATTTCACTTCCTAATATGTATCTTATCTAAGCCATCAACTAAAAATCCAAAATGAAAAAAATATTCCCGTCATAGAATTTTATGATCTATATGGGCAATTCTCTGGGGATGTCAACCAAGCCAAAAAGCGTGAAACTTGAAAAAAAACATATTTCTATATGATTTTGCAATAATATTTGATTCTTGTTAGATGGATCCTCAACTAAGCAAAGTATTTTGAGTACCTTTGGATAATTTTCTAGGACAATACTTGTTATATGGACAAAAGTATTTTTTGGCATTTTTCAGTATTTTTTAAAGTAGCTCTTAAACGGTTTTTTGACATTAGGGTTACAGAAAACCCACCTAAGAAAATGACGGAAAAACTGTCGCGTGCGACATGTAGCGTGTGACAATCACTTCAATGCCAATAAAAAAAAAACCACTCAATATAAGTAATTTAATTTAACTTAACATTAAAGGCTACAAAATCATAAGATAATAAGTTTATTGTTTTTCATATATAGTGCTTGGTAGTTGGTTTAGGTATTTACTTCATAAAGACTAAATGATTTTTTAAGGGTTGACTCTTTCGTTTTCATTTTTTTTTTTTGTTTTAAAGGTTGGTTGGATTTTATTATAGCATGTTTGTTTTGTTTTCGTTCTTTCTCAAAGTTTTGTGTGTGGCTGAGGTATTTTGTTTTGCTTTGGGTGTTTGCTGCTAGTAATATTCTCCTACTTGCGTACAGCGATAAGAAATTACTGTATTTTTACCTCTACAGAAGTTTAAAATAAGCACACAGAATGACGAAGCCAAAGCGAAACAGAATAGATCCGTTAAGCGTACGACTGGTCGGCAACGTTATATATTCAATAATATCAACAAGTGCAAGGGGTTTTGGAACGACTCACCGAATTTCTGCATGTGATGGAGGCCTCCTCATCAAGCGCTGGTGTTGTTGGAGATGACGAATTCGCACTAATATGTTGGGGAATTAAAGAATATTCAAAGTTATCTCCCAGTCGCCGATCGCTGCCGTCGTTTTAAGTGGATGTTTGTTTGGATTTTTTTTCTCTGCACTGATCCAATACCAAGCACTGAATATGAACTGCCTCGTTCGTTGGGGTATTGTATTTTACAATATTTTGTGCCCTTTCTTTGATTAAATGAATTGCTGCCTTCGATTGAGCTAATCAAAAAACTATGGGTGCCAGGTGGATATCACGTGCCCGCTGAGTTGGGCGAGTTTGTAGGCGACTGCAGGTCCGATTGCAGGTTGAAAGAAATACTCTTCAGAGGCTTCAACGAAGACAGAAGCCGGGAAAATGTGATGCAGCCCCGCTCCTCCTCAGGGTGTAACTGCTGATTATTTGCTGTGCTCTGGTAGACCGGTTCTGATGAAAATGGTATTGCGGATTCTTAGCGTAAATAAGCCGAACAATTTTCCTTTTGACAATTAAGCTAGGTTAACCAAAGCTTCGGACAAGCGTTAATTTTATCTCCAATCCCAGGTTTTCGAACTTTTTTGGTTACTTTTCACTGACAACGGGTTTTTGAAAAAGTGTATGCCTGTGTTAAGGTTAAAGTAAAGCTTGTTGCTATTACTTCTTAGTTACGTAACAAAACACGCGTTTTTAAGGCTTTGTATGAATACTTGGAGTGATCCGTACTTTATGTTGGCCAATTGGGAAAAGAGACCGTGTGCTTCGTTATTGGGCTTTTTATAGCTTTGGATAATACCGGATATGGATGAATTCGTCCCAACTGTCAGTTACTTCACCGTGTTCAGTTTGACACTGGAAGGGTGACAATGATGCCCATGCTACCTATCGAATAGCACTACCGCGGTTTTTTTTAATATTTCTGGATTGAAATATTTAAAATTTACATTTGCTTCAGACCCACGTTACAGACTTAGGGTGGTTAGAGTATCCGACTCATAATCTCTGGGTCGTGAGTTCAAATCCAGCTTTTGCAGATGATGTTTTTCTTTTTGGTAAATGTTGATTTTGATTCCCAGCGAAGGCAATAAACCTGATTTGTAAGTTTCAGTATCTGTGAAATGTAAGTGTCTATAAATAACTTCCATATGTATTAATATAACAAACTAAATTAAAAATAAAAACAAGTTAAAAACATAAATTAAAAAAAAACAATTTTTTCGGGCTAAATACTATTTTGTAGGTCATCTACTATTTTATAGGTAATCTACTATTTTTTGGGGCATTTTCTATCTTTTATGGGTTGGTGCAGTTTTCACTATTAAATAGTTGATTTTAGATAGTTTTTTTTTTTGTGTGTAGGAATAATCGGGGAACAAAATTTAAAAAGAATTATATCTTGGGTGTTTTTCAACCAATGCCATTTTTTATCTAATTCTGAATTTCGAATAAATTGTTTTCAAAATCGGACGACTATATCATATAGCTGCCATAGGAACGATCGGAAAATGAATGGGAATATAATAGGAAATAAATTATTGCTTCGTTGGTTTTTATCGTATTCTCTTCTTATCTGGGATATGACTTTTTTTAAATGTTTTCAAATTTCGATTTTAATTTTATCAATATCGAACTACTATATCATATAGCTGCCATAGAAAGGATCGGAAAATTAGTGATTAATAGGAATTATCTGCAAGGGTATATAAGCTTCGGCTGGCCGAAGCTAGCTTCCTTTCTTGTTTTAAAGATGAAATAACAAGGAAGACTATGAAATTACCTGCATTGAAATATTCCTTCACGTTTCGATAAGCAGGAAGTCAAAAAAATCACTTCTATCTATCTATTTTTTTATATATCTTAAAAACGAAAAATGCCCTAAAGTCAGCCCTAGCACATATTTTAGTGCTAATCAAGACCTTTAATTTGAGCCTAGTGCCAAAAGAAAATAAGTCTTAGAAGATGGTTTTCTCACCAGCAAAGCGTACGAACGTCGCGTGCGACAGCAGAAAATTGCACATATATAATATATATGCATGAGTGGAGTCATAGGGCCCTTTGACATACATTTTCAAAAAAGGTTCGAGTAGCTCATGTCGGAACATTTTTTGGATCTGACTCCTATACCTCATGACTCCCTATGACTCATGACTCCCTATGAGTCATGACTCAGGTCAAAACAAGAGAGAACGCTATAGTCGGGTTCGTGTCCCGACTATCTAATACCCGTCACTCGGCTAAAGGGAGTGCGAGGGAGATGGATATATAACCTTTTTTTGATTGCGCATAACTTTTTCATTAATGATCCGATTTGAAAAATGTCTTATATACACAACAAAATTGCATTTACACTTCTCGGAAAATTTCAAAGGTATGGGCGCCAGACACATTTTAAAATCGTTAGTGGGCGATTGTGGGCGTTAGAGGTGGCGTGGCACTCGGCTAAAATAAACTTAGAAGCCCAAGAATATGTGTGGGAAATCTCAACCTTCTAGCTTTTGTAGTTTCCGAGATCTCAGCGTTCATACGGACAGACAGACAGACGGACTGACTGACGGACAGACGGACATGGCTATATCGACCCGGCTAGTGACCCTGATCAAGAATATATATATAAGAATATATATAGGGCCGGAAACGCTGCCTTCTTCCTGTTACACACTTTTGCACGAATACAATATACCCATTTACTCTACGAGTAGCGGGTATAAATATCTCTAATCTGTTAATCACAGAATTCGCGGATTATTCGAGCTCAACAATACACGTATCACTCGACGTGAAGAATTCGCGGTTTATTTGACATGAGGAATCCGCGGATTATTCGACCTTATGAGTTAAGTAGGTCATGGCGCATAGTATGAGCCATGTTTCATAGGAGTCATGAGCTATAGGAGTCATGACTTGAGCTATGACTCTACTCATACAGGGCTCTAATAACTATATATATTTTTTCTTTTTTGTTTTATAGCACTGTGCAACAAAATGAATGCTTTTTAAATTTCCAAGTTAAACAAAGTTTGAAAAATGCTGAAACTGGCCAACTTTGTGTAGGCCTCAGAGGCAAACGGAAACATGGTTTGTTTTGATGTTAAAATTTTTTAAAAGATACACTCATAATCTTTCAAACCCTATCTTTAGAATTATTTTAGGATTTTTTTAAGGGAGAAACAAATTCTAGAAAACATAGTCAAAAAACATAAAAGCATACAGCTGCGGTCAAAATATTAGTAGTGTTGCCGCCCTGTGTTTTAAAAGTTCGTTTTGAATTTCTGATTTTTAGATGGTGATTGGCACAAAATATACTAAAAATACTAGGTGAAACAGGTGGGATAGGAACATCAAAGGGTTGACGTTGGAATATTTTCAACCTCATCCAATTTGTATGACCATCTGAGACGGTAAACGGTACATGTTGACTAATAAATAAAAACAAAACATTGGCTAGGGTATTGTAATTTACAACTTGTAAGCCTAGGAAACTTTCAAAATTGTTGTTGAAGCCGCTAGGTTCGATTAGATTTTACACTTTTTATACGTTAGCAACGCAATTAACAATTAACATCTGAGGACTAATAATTCATTTCAGCACCTTCGGCTGAAGACCAAACTGACGTAGAGTTGTCGGAAGCCAGCGGAGTAGAAGCGACTGAAAATATTGAGAGCGAGAGCGTGGATGAAGGCGTAGAAACTTCGGTAGAGGGAGAACCTGACTACGGAGAGGGAAGTTTCGAAGCAGTTTTACAACCAGTAACGGAGGCCAACCATGAGGCAGAATCCTTAGGGATATCATCACAAAACGAGATCGACCCAAACAATGAGGTTGAGGAGGAGATCTTGGAAATTGAATACGGAGAACCTATCCCAGGTACTGGTGTGTCCAACGACTTTAAGGTTGTCTGCTACTTTACGAACTGGGCATGGTACCGCCAAGGCGGTGGAAAGTTCCTGCCAGAAGATATTGACGCAGATCTGTGTACCCACATTGTCTATGGCTTCGCTGTTCTAAGCCGTAACAATCTGACGATTCAGCCTCACGACTCCTGGGCGGACCTAGACAACAAGTTCTATGAGCGGGTTGTGGCCTACCGCAAAAAGGGAGTGAAGGTCTCCGTGGCCATTGGTGGTTGGAATGACTCTGCTGGCGACAAGTATGCCCGACTTGTAAGAAAATCTGAGGCACGAACGCGGTTCATCCGCCATGCTTTGGAATTCATCGAGAAGTATAATTTTGACGGACTGGATCTGGATTGGGAGTACCCTGTGTGCTGGCAGGTGGACTGTAAAAAGGGTACAGCAGATGAAAAGATTGGATTCACTGCCCTGGTACGGGAGCTGTCGGGTGCCTTCCAAGCAAAAGGCCTGATCCTCTCCGCTGCCGTATCACCCAACAAAAAAGTTGTGGACGCCGCTTACGATGTTCCCGAGTTGTCCCGCTACTTTGACTGGATCTCTGTGATGGCCTATGACTACCACGGCCAGTGGGACAAACAGACTGGTCACGTGGCGCCAATGTACAACCACCCCGAAGGAACTGTAAACTTTAATGCGAATTTTTCGATGAACTATTGGATATCAAGAGGAACTGACCGACGGAAGCTTATAATGGGTATTCCTATGTACGGCCAGTCATTCTCTCTGGCTGAGAAGGCTGAGCACCAGCTAAATGCGCCTACATACGGCGGCGGGGAAGCAGGGGATGCGACAAGGGCTAGAGGGTTTCTGGCATACTATGAGATCTGCTTGAACATCCGCCAGCGCAGGTGGAACGTTGTGAGGGATGCCAGGGGTCGGATGGGACCCTTCGCCTACCTAGAAGATCAGTGGGTCTCCTTTGACGATACACATATGGTTCGACACAAAAGCGAGTACGTCAAGGCTATGGGACTTGGTGGTGCCATGGTCTGGGCACTTGATCTGGACGACTTTAAAAATTACTGTGGATGTGAATCTTACCCCTTGCTAAAAACCATAAATCGCGTGCTTCGAGGTTTAGGTGGTCCACATGAAAAATGCGTGCTTGAGCAACGAGAGAAGACGACTAGTAAGTAATGTCTTTATTAGACATTTATTATTAATAGAAACGAGCCTTCGAACACTTATTATCTTCTATCTCCGCAGTTGCAAGCGCCAGTCCGTCCACTGTTAACTCGCAAATAGGAACTGATCTATCCCCTGCTCCTGCCATACAGAATGCACCTCTAAGTAACCCTAGCCAGCCGAACCCAGCCATTATATGCGACGGGAAAAACTATTTGCCCCACGAACTCGATTGCAATAAGTACTACATCTGCCAGCATGGAATGCAAGTAGAGCAACGGTATGTTTTTTAATATGATACTTATTACCGAATTTATAAAAATTATTTTGATTTGATACTATTTGATACGGTTGGACATTCATTTCCTCTATACTTTAAAATACTTTAAAAATGATTTTTTTGTAACGAAACCAAAAAATATTAAAGCGATTTTTAATGTCCAAATCAAGCTGTGACAAACTTTTAAAAATTTATCTGCTGAATCTTCGATGTCCGAAGTAAATTATTCAAGTAATGACTTCGTTTTAATGAGATATTTTTTCAGGTGCCCTGCGGGTCTTCAGTGGAATGAGAACTACTGCGACTGGCCGAACAATTTTAAGTGCTCGGTGCGATCTGATCAGACCACCCAACCGCCAATAATGTATCACCCGAAACCTACTAGCACCTTTGCGGAGCGTCCAACAACCAATGAGCCTCTTATCCCGAACAATATTTCGCACCCGAATCCAATAACACCTTCTCACTTGGGCAGTGGCGAAGCTTACAAAGTGATCTGCTATTTTACCAACTGGGCATGGTACAGACCGGGTCAGGGCAAGTATGTTCCCGAGGACATAGACGCTAATCTATGCACCCACATCATCTACGGCTTTGCGGTGCTTGATAGCAATTCGCTGACCATTAGGACTCATGACAGCTGGGCGGATATCGACAACAGATTTTACGAGCGCGTGGTAGAGTACAAGCAAAAGGGACTTCGCGTTTTGGTGGCCATAGGAGGATGGAATGATTCGCTGGGCAGCAAGTATGCGCGCCTGGTTCTTGACTTACAGGCTCGAGCACGCTTTATCGCAAGTGTGCTTATATTTGTAGAAAAGTACGGCTTTGAGGGTCTGGACTTAGACTGGGAGTACCCGGTGTGCTGGCAGGTGGATTGTGCAAAAGGTGATCCAGCGGAAAAGCACGCATTTGCTGCTCTGGTGAAGGAACTTTCGGAGGCCTTTAAGCCAAAGAGCCTGCTCCTTTCGGCAGCGGTTTCGCCAAGTAAAATAGTAATCGACGCCGGATACGAAGTGTCCAAGCTGTCTCGATACTTTGACTGGATCGCCGTAATGACGTACGACTTCCACGGTCACTGGGATAAACGGACAGGTCACCTTGCTCCGCTTTACCACGTAGAAGGTGATATCAATCCACACTATAACGGAAACTTTAGCATACACTACTGGCTAGACCGGGGCGTTCCCGCGAGCAAGCTGATTATGGGAATGCCAATGTACGGCCAGTCCTTTACGCTGGCTGATCAAAGCCACTCGTTAATAAATGATAAGTCCGTAGGTCCGGGGAAGGCAGGAGCCTACACTCGAGCTGGCGGATTTTTGGCGTACTATGAGATCTGCGAAATGATCGGAAATGGCGGCTGGACTGTAGTACGGGACATAGAGGGTCGCATCGGACCCTACGCCCATAGTGGCAACCAGTGGATCTCTTACGATGACGTATCGGACACTCGGCGGAAGGCGGAGTTTATTAAAAGACTTAGCCTAGGTGGTGGGATGGTATGGGCCCTTGATCTGGACGACTTTCGCGGCCGCTGTGGTTGCGGCAAACATCCATTGCTCAGGACTCTCAGTCAGGAGCTGCGAGACATCCCCGGCCAACGTGCAAAGGATTGCACATAATATATAGTCCCTTCTTTTGCTGCTGGATTGCCTTGCACTTTATTTAAATTTATTTTGAGCGGTTATATACACTTGTACCCAGAATAAATTGCCCTTTATACGAATTTTGTTTTGTATTGACTAATGGTTCACAGCTTATTCCAACCAGTCTACACCAAAAACTTTATCACCCCTCAAAAACTAAACAAAACATGTTATCATAATGATTAAAGCGCCGAATACATCTATAATGATACACATTAGTGTTCACTCCAGCCGTTGCATTTTTCTGATCCATTCCCATCTTACTCCAGCCAATGTCGCCTACTACATACTTGTAGTCTTAAAGACAGGCGTTTAATAGCGCGCCTACTCTTCGTGAATGACTTAATTATTGGTAACATTGATAGTCCTTTCCTTTTGAGTTTAATTACCTTTAATGCCCCAGCCAGGAATCTCCGTACCATGGTCCCTTTTTTTGAAAGTGCTGCTAGGACCAATTATGCTCGGAATGAACCACTTTTAAGGGCTTTGAGTTTATTTAACTCCCTACCACCCAGCATCCGGTTATGTTGGGGATCCAAGAAAGACATGCTTAGGCAATCACTTAGGGAATATTTTTTATGTAGCTCTTAGTCTTAGTTTTAAGTTTATAACTTACTAGCCAGATAAGGATTTAATCCATTGGCGGAATAAATAAATAAATATTATATATTAATAATTTTATGTCCAGCAGGTCCTTCCATAATTTTTATTTTTTTTTAAATTTGAATTTATCTTCACATTTTAAAGGATAAATTAATTAAAAACTAAAAGGATCTTAAATTTTACCACAATCCCGTTATTAAATGGCGACAGTAACAAAACTGTCATTGTGTCTACGTCAATTACCCGTGAAGTTAAATAAACATAAACAAAACAAGAGAGAACGCTATAGTCGAGTTCCTCTACTATTAAATACCCGTTACTCAGCTTAACAACTTTTATATAAATATGCCTTCTTGTATGTTTTTTGCGCGCCTCATTTCAAATAATTTACGTGAATGCAAAATGTATTCCAAATTAGAGTGAGCAGCTTTTTTCCAGCACCAGCTATAGTGTTGAACACGCGGCGACTGCGCCATCTATGACACGGAATTGGTACTGTTTATACAAAAAACTGTGGGCGCCACGGCTTTTTGCGGTTTGTTGGTGTTAGAGGGGGCGTGGCACCTTGATAAAAAAAAAAACTTGCGCTGCGTAGGAAGTCCAAGAATGTCTGTGGAAAATCTCAACCTTCTAGCTTTTGTAGTTTCCGAGATCTCAGCGTTTATCCTGACAGACAGACAGACGGACATGGCTAGATCGACTCGGCTAGTGATCCTGATCAAGAATATATATACTTTAAGGGGTCGGAAACGCTTCCTTCTCCCTGTTACATACTTTTGCACGAATAAATATAAAGGTAATTATAAAGGTATATTCCCAAATGTGAATTTTTGAAAGTACGCACATTCTACAAAAAATCTATCGAGAGTACGAAAAAAACGAGTTAAAGAAAAAGGTGCGGTAGACAGCCCCGACTTTCGTCCCAATTGGAAAAAAAAACGAGGTGAAGAAGGAAGGGCTGTAGTCAGCCCTGTCTGCTGCGCCGCCAAATACCTTACTCCACCGAGACAAGAAGAGCGGACTAAGAAATTTGTTCACCGCTGAATTTTTTGTAGCACTGGCAACGCGTTTACGCGGGGTGCTATAGTAAAGATCATTAACATTAACATTCATATTTATTTATTACTAACGCATAACTTTTGGTGTAAACTTAATATAAGTAAAATATTTGTAATAGCCTCTTCCCATAGAGTCGATCCGTGTGAAACGGTTGGGATTTTTGACAAATGTGAAATTCGTGTTCCCATAGAGCAGCGGTCGGCAGCGTCCTATTAAGTGAGCATAGGAAATTGTTCTGCTCGAGCGCTGCCTCCACGTATACTGTAGAACAGCGGTCTGCGCACACACACTGTTAAGCCGCCCCGTACAATTTACTCACACAAATACAAAACAAAATGTAATTGTATGAGTGTGCCGACCGCTGCCATAGAGTTTCCATCCACATCCACATCCAATAACAGCTGACTTGAAGAGCAGTTGCTCAACTCAACATAAACGAAGGGGGATTTCAACTCGGGAAACTGTCGTAAAAATGCGTTGTCTTTATTTTATTGTAGAATAATTGCCATATCTGAACGTTTATAACATATCCAACAACGAGTATGCATACATATTGCTGACTGGGGGGAGCCTAACCTCCCGTACCCCACACTCCGCTCTTTCTGCGCCTCTGCCTAGCCAATATTAATATGAAAAATTTGTAAACAAAACTAAATTTATGTTTTTTTTGGTAAATTATAGACACTTTGGAACTTTATAGGAGTACAAAGTACACTTTTAATTAATATTAGTTATATTTATGAAGTGCAAAACATATTTTGACACTTTGCTGCCAACATTGATGTTTTCGTACGCACAACAGCTTACATTTTGGCCCACTCATAGCAACATGCTTGCGAACGCTTTTGCGCTCATAACAAACTACAAATAATTAAAAAAAGAAACCCAAAAAACAATGAGCTGAAGCAATATTTAATTTTTTCCCGCCATCGATTTGATTTGTTCTGCAGTCATCGTTTCAATTTTCACAGTCAAGAGGAAGAATTCAGAGTTGCACCGAGAAAACATCGCTTAAATATCGCATAATCAAAGTCCGTTAAAATTGGATTGCGGACTAACTGGAAAATTTTCGGAACGTCAAAACCTTACGGACCATCCGTTCAACGGATCGTGAAAAGTGGATGGAGCTCTGTGGAAAGACCCTATTAGTTTTTAAGCTATCGGGATGAAACTTTTCCAAAAGTCTTCTTTCTATTGCAAGTAGTATATAAGTCGGAACCGGCCGGATTGGACAACTATATCTAATAGCTCCCATAGGAAGGATCAGAAAAAACACGTGAAAAAAATCTAGCTTCGGTGTTCTTGGGAATATTATTTTTTAAGGGGTTATATACCTTTTGAGCGAAAAAATTGAGGGAACTTTGGATTTTTTTTTCAGGTGTGTAGCAATTATTTTATGACTCTGATGTTATTATTATTGATAGTACATGTTTTTATCGAAACAACAAGCGTTTGTTCTTGAAAAAATATGAATAATTTACGAAGTTATGGCAATTCTCTCGGAACCCTATTTTTTTCTATATCGGCTTGCGGTGACCACGATGGAAGTCCAGCAGGTCAACTGAGTTCAAAAAACCAAAAAATTTCTATTAGTATAGTATTCTTTCCAGTTCGTGAACGATTATTTTCAAGAATATTTGGTTTTTTCTGCATACAGTAACAATTATTCCAAAAATTTGATTTTTCGAGTTCTAAAAATTGTATTAAAAATTTCTGATCTGTGAAATCAAAATCGGCGCATAAAAACTGAATCGTTCACGAACTCGGCACAATCATTACGAATAATTTAAAAAAAAATTGAAGAAGATCGATCAAATAATTCTTGTGCAATCGTGGTCACAGCGAAGGCACTTTTGATAAAACACGACTTTGAGGTAATCGCATTCAAAGTTTTACGTTGAGTGTATGCAACTATGAAGTCGAGCACACAAAACGTTGTTTTCCTATAGAACTATTATTCGGATCTCTATGAAAATTTGGGAAAATGTTCTCTAAGGAATATACTTTAGGATTCAGCAAAAAAAAATTTTGTTTTTTTAAAGTTATATAACCCTTTAATTATTTTTAAATTTCGAATCAATTTTTTAAGAAAACGGACCACTATATCATATAGCTGCCATAGGAATGATCGGGAAACAAATGGGAATAAATAGGAAAAAAAGTATATCTTTGATGATTTCTTTTCCATTATTTTCTTCTCTGGTATAGAGCTTTTCTTTAACATAATAACATAAAAATTTCGAATAAAATTTAACAAAATTTAGACCATAGAAAAATATAATAAGAAAACAGCTAAAATCTTGGTTGTTGTTACATATAAGCAAGTATTTCTAAATTTAATGTTTATGTAAGTTAATAAGAATGATCTGCAAGGGTATATAAGCTTCGGCTGACCAAAGCTAGCTTCCTTTCTTGTTATATATGGGCGGTTCTTCTACAAACCGATCGGATTTGGCCAAAAAAAAAAAATTTCTCATTTTTGATTTGCTTGAAACTTTTTTAAGTGTACTATTCGGAAAATTAGTAAACACGTGTATCAAGATTTGGTTGAAAAAAAATTATTTGTTTTTCTTTAGAATTTTTTAAGTTTGCCCAAAAACGTGAATTTTGAAAAAGTACCCTCTCATTGAAAATCTGAATCTCCGGTTGTAGTAATCTGATTGACTTCGTGTCTTTTGCATTAATTTCTCTAAAACCTCTTCTTAAAAAAAAAATGTAGAAAAACAAAGAGTTTTTAATTTCTTAAAAATAAAAAAAATTAAGATTTAAAAAATTTTTTTTGACTGGTTCCCCACAAAAATAAATGTTTTTTAATTTAACATATGAGCCATATTGTTAGTTTCAATTAGTTTTTGTCAAAAAGGTGGAGCCATGTTTAGTTTTTAAAATATCGAATTTGTTTAAACAAGGCCTCGGCTTTTTTCTATGAAAAAATGTCGCAGCATGTAGATCTATTCTCTCACTCTTATCAGATCCTTATGGAATTGATGTTTTCTCATCGTTTACTAGTCCTTTAACAATTGTTAATGATTAAAAGTTATGTTTTAAGTCTTTTGACAATTTCTGAATGACAAAAAGTAAAAAGTCATTTTTTAATCTATTAAAAACTTACACTTATTTATTTTACCGTCCATTAAATAAACAATTATTTAAATATTTTTGTATTTATTATTTTTCTGTATTATGTAATTTATTAAACATTTTTAAATATATTTTTTTTAATTTTTTAAAAAAATTTATTAAATTTTATATGTTTTTATTTTTATTATATTATTATTATTATTTATAACGGCCCCAAATGCCTTCTGCGACGCATCAGAAAAACCATTTCACCTCTGGCTGGAAACCAACCCACCTTGGAATACGGATCTGCTCAAGCACGGAATAGCTGCGCAAAAATTCTTGCCATCTTTGATTAATTTCTGTGGGGATATTTTCATCCCAGCCCAACTCCTGCAACCAAATCTTTTGCATAAAGATTTTTGAGCGGATAATAAACGGGGAGAGCTATCCGGCTGGGTCAAAAAGCTTCGCGAATTGGGAAAGAGCCTCTCTTTTCATATAAGTAGATTTAATCGAAACTGGCGGTGGAACAAAATAGAACTCGTCCGAGGTCGCATTTTACCGAACTCCAAGTGTTTTGGCAAAGCTTTAGGAATTAAGATCGCGAAAGTCCTTGTGGAGTAGATGCTCGTTTGGGATATCTTCGAGTATGCTCTTCTGATTGGCTGTCCACTTTCTTAATGGGAACCCGGCGCGGTTGAAAGCGTGGTAAAGATCGCTAATCGCAAGTCGAGCCGTACATAAAAAAACGAATAATATTGCTTTTTTTCCCCAGATGTCATTAGTAACATAATGACGGGGGCCCTTACCTGACTCAATGAATGGGCAAGAACCTGCGGACTAGGTATAAACCCGAGTAAAACTGAACTAATGCTCTTCACGCGGGGAACAAAGATCGCAACATACAGTAAACCAAAAATAGATGGAATCGAACTCGAGCTATTGGGTAAAGCTAAGTACTAGTATACTAGACCCGAAGCTCTCGTGGAAACTGAACATCACGGAACGAGTAAGAAAGGCCAGCATAGCATTCTACTAGTGCAGGAAAATGTTCGGCAAAAACTGGGGTATACACCCTAAGATAATATTAAGGCTTTACACAGCAGTGGTAAGGCCAATTCTCACATACGGGGCACTAGTCTGGTTGCCAGCCCTGACAAGAGCATACAATATTACCACGCTGACAAGAATACAGAGATCAGCTTGCGCAGGAGCTACAGGGGCATTAAGATTATGCCCAGCTGCAGCGTTGAACACTATTCTGGAATTTTTCATAAAGGATACGGCAGCGCAGAGTGCGGCCAGACTGAAAGGCAAGTAAATGATGGAATGGCTACCACACAGGGCACTGCCGTATCTTAGAGGACAGCAACTATCTGGCAACAAAACAAAACGGATTATATGACAGCGGAGATAAGATTTGGAAATGGAATTACGACTACATTTCCAACGAGGGAAGACTGGGAGAATGACAGAGTAACCGGTAAAGATGAGGTATCACTCTACTCTGACGTCTTTAAGATGGACTGTGGTGTAGGGGCTGGAATTTTCGCTGAAAGCTGGGGGATAGACTCGAAATTCCACCTCCCAGAATCAGCGAAAGTTTTTCAGGCTGAGGTACCTGCTATTTTAGAAGCAGCCAAGCTTTCGATTCAGCAATGCCTCAGGAATACCAAGGTAAGGAAATAATCTGATAGCCAAGCAGGTAATAAAATCTCTCGCAGCAGCAAGAACCAACTCGACACTAGCAGCCGATTGTAAGTCGGCTCTTAACATACTAGCAACAAACAACTATGTACAGATAACATGGGTGCTAGGGCACAATGATATACCAGGAAACGAAAAGGCGGATGAACTTGCACGAATGGGGTCGGCAGACGACTCTTATACAACTAGTCTACCTGAATCCCTAAATACAGTCCAAGCAAGGATTCACGAACACTACAAAACACAAGCTAGTAAAAGTTGGTCGGAAAAGCAGGGTCTCAGGAGATGAAAACTTTGCTGGCCAACCATCAATAGCAAGAGATCTCGAGAGCTAGTAACCAAAAGTAAAAAGGATATCACGGCACTCATCACAGGCCATTGGGCCATTGGCACGCAAGCCAACAACGCTAATTGCAGAAGCTGCAAAGAAAGAGACACACAGGAGACACCTGAGCAGATGATGTGTAATTGCCCAGCACTAAACCATATCAGGGCGAGATACTTCGGGGCGTATCAGCTGGAATCATTGGGAGAAATAGGAAAGCAGAGAATAACTGCAATCTTAGGTTTTATAAATGACGTAGGCTGGTTCTAAAAAGAACGCGGAGACAACAATTTACGAGGGTGTGGATCAAAACGGAGATCAGATTAAAAAATGACTTTTTACTTTTTGTCATTCAGAAATTGTCAAAAGACTTAAAACATAACTATTGCCTCGCCGGGCAATGCCTCCGTGGTCGCGGGGGTTGTACCTTTTTTAAGTCTGCTTCTCCGTTAAAGTCCCAAACCAAAAACCGCTCCTTTCGTTTTACTCCGTGTAACTTTATTGCTTCATATATTGACACAGGTTTAACTATTGTGGAAATTGGTTAATTCAGAAACTATAACAAAAAGAAAGAGCTAGACTAAAAAACTTGTACGGCTCTCCGGTTAACTTTCAGCTTCCACGCGCTTTTCTTCTCTTGTTCTTGTTAGCTATTCGCCCCGCGTAACCATTCGCCGGCGAGGGCCACCCATCAGCTGTTCGTACGTCGCGTTGCCAACTGATCTGTGCTGCTAATTGGGTTCATGCCGTAACATTCCCCCCTTCGCAAACAATCCTCGCCGATTTGTTTGCAAAACCTATGGTTACGTCTTGGCCGCCATCTTCACCAGCAGCTGCTGGTTTGTTGACATCAAGCTTGGCCAACTTGACGATCGGTCGGGTCAGCAATCCAGTCGCGGTGCGTATAACCGCGCTGCGTGCTATCCCGTCTTTGGCCACTCGAAGATCCATGATGACACCTTTCTTCCACTGCACCTTGGGGTTCGATTCATCAACCATAATGACGACATCTCCTATGCAGATCGGGTTATTTGGCGGGCCATGCCATTTAGCTCTTTGTGTGAGGCACGGTAGGTATTCCCTCAGCCATCGCTTCTTGAAACTGTCTGCAATCTGACCTGCAATACGAAAACTCTTACCAAGCAAAATGCCGTTCGTGTTGCTGCCATCCTTTACTACCATCGCGCTGCTTGCTCCTCGTAGAAAATGGTTTGGCGTAAGTGCATCAGCTTCTGGAGTCTCCAGCGGCACGTACGTCAATGGTCGGGAATTGAGCGTGTTTTCTATCCTGGCTAGAGCTGCTCTAAGCACCGGTTCTTGAACGTGCTTCTCTTCTAGTATTTCAAACAGAATAGATTTTACAGATCTTATCATCCGCTCCCATGCGCCACCCATGTGGGGCGCTCCTGGCGGTATGAAAGACCACTCGATCTCTGGGTACTTATTTTCCAGCTCCTTCGATGAGATCCTCTCGATTTCTTCTTGTAATAGTCGGCTCGCTCCTCGAAAATTGGTTCCGTTGTCCGACATTATTCTTTTCGGCACTCCTCTTCGTGCCACAAGCATTTCAAGGATCAGCATAAATGTATCTGTCGACAGAGAGTTAGCTAATTCGATGTGTACTGCTCTTACAGTAAGGCACGTGAACAGTACGCCCCACCGTTTCTCTCTTCGTCTTCCAACATTCACCTCGAATGGGCCGAAGTAGTCGATGCCAGTGTTCGTAAAAGGTAGCTCATTTATAGCAAGCCTTTCTGGCGGAATATCTCCCATCTCCGGTGGCTCCGGAGCCGCTTTCTTATTGCGACACCTCTGACAAGCGTTGGCTAGTGATCGAACTTTGGCTCTTAGTCCCGGGATGTGATATAATTGGCGCATCTCGTTGACTACAATTTCGGTTAGTTGGTGGTGGAACTTACGGTGAAAATAATCGACCAGAAGATTGGTGACTTTGTGTTCTTTGGGTAGAATTACTGGTCTTTTCACGTTCATATCCACTCCGCTCATTCGATCGATCCGGCCGCGTATTCTCAGCACGCCTGCTTCGTCCAAGTAAGGCGTAAGTTTATATATTGGACTCTTCCTTCCTAATACGGTTCCTCGGCGTAGAAGAATTATTTCTTCCGCGTACGCTTCCTCTTGAACCATCCTGTAAATCACGTTGTTTACATCATCCAGGTTGCGAATACGTGTGGCAATCTTTGCCTCCTCCGACGCTAATTCTTTCTTGCATATTTTGCTTAAAAATGCATAACGCATTTCAGGGCTCCTCGCAGCTTCTCCCACTTACTAAAACGATTAATTTCCGGGACGATGCTTGCCAGCATTGATAATGACGTCTCCTTTAGTTCATGGACGTTTATCCTCTCCAGTATGTGTGGGCTTAGATCCGTAACCGGCCAGTGTTCTTCTGATTCTAATAAAAATGATGGACCTGTAAACCATCTCGAGTCTGCCTGAAAACTCGATTCCTTCGTCCATTTTGTCCCGTCATCAGCCACGTTCAGCGCAGATGGGACCCATTTCCATTCGGCGGTTTCGGAATTCTCCAGGATTTCACCAATTCGTAGGGCTACAAACTGGTGATACTTTCGAGCATCTGAGCGTATCCAGTATAAAACGTTTTTGGAATCGGTCCAAAACACACGTCTCTTCACGCCGATGGATAACTCCTGCTCCAAAAATGTTGCCAATCTTAGGCCTAAAATAGCAGCCATTAGTTCCATTCTAGGGATTGAAATGGGTTTCAGCGGCGCCACTCTCGTTTTAGAGGCCAGTAACGCGCATCGGATACCGTCTCGTTCTTCGATCCGTATGTAGGCCACCGCGGCGAAAGCATTGATACTTGCATCTGTAAATATGTGTAATTGAATATTACATGTCTCAGTAGATAAGCCAAGATACCGTGGGATTTGTAAATCTTCGATGTGTTTGAGTTGCCTTATCCATAGAGCCCAACGATCACGCTCTTCTTCTCCGATTGGTTCGTCCCAACCTACGGCAGACCTCCACACATCCTGTAGTATCAGCTTTGCCTGAATTATATAAAATCCCAGCAGACCTAGCGGGTCAAAGATGGTCATAACTATTCGAAGAATTAACCTCTTTGTCACGACTGTAGTTTCGTTATAAATATTTTCTCCAAATTTGTTGACAAAGGTAAAGTGGTCGGCTCTAGGATTCCACCACATTCCTAGCACTCGTTCGTTTGTCGTAGACTCGGCCATCTCAATGCTGCGTTCAGGTGTTTTAGTGTCACCCAAGAGCGTCCGCATTACTGTAGACGAGTTTGATATCCAGCCTCTCATCTCGAAGCCTCCTTCTTTATGTATGTGTCGTACTTCCTGAGCTAGGCGGACCATTTCTTCTTCAGACTCACAACTTTGGAGCCAGTCATCTACAAATGTATTCCGTAATATGGCTCTCGCTGCCTTCGGGTGTTCGTCAAGGAATTGCTTAGCGTTCCTATCTCTCACGTAGTTAGCCGCTGCTGGGGAGCAAGAAGCACCAAAGGTCATTACTCTCATTACATACCTATCTGGCTCTCGACTGTTGTCGCCATATCTCCAGAGAAATTGCTGTGCTCCTTGGTCCTCTTTACGCACCATTATCTGGTGGAACATTTCTTTTACGTCTCCACATATTCCGACCGCTTTCTGTCTGAATCTTAAAATCACTCCAACAAGAGAGGGTAGTTGATCCGGTCCCTTTAATAGCATCGTGTTGAGGGCGATCCCTTCCACCTTGGCTGCAGCGTCCCAAACTAGCCTCGATTTTCCTTTACTCGGATTTTTGACAACGAATATGGGCAAATACCAAGTCCGTTGTTCGTCGGTCATTTCGTCGGTTCCTAGTTTGCGGATATATCCTAACTGCTCGTAGCGTCGAATCTGCTGGTTCACGAACTCTCGTAGTTCTTTGTCTTTCGCCATACGGGTTTCCAAACACTGGAGTCGTCGCATGGCCATCTCACGGGAGGACGGGAGCTTTACGTTGTCGTACCGCCACAGAAGTCCAGTCTGCCATCTCTTCAGCTCTCTGTTATACGTCGTGGATTCGTTCAGGATACGATTGGCTCTCTCGTCTTCTTTAGACCTAAGAGTGTTATTAGATATACTCACACCAACCGCATCTAGTGAAAAACTCTCTTTGATAAGAACATCCAGTTGCTGATCGTTATTACATTCGCAGACATGCATTACCCTGGAGCTTGCCGGTTTACCAGTATCGCCTTTACGTCCATAAACAGACCATCCGAGCCTGGACTTAGCTGCGATAAATTCTGAGTCTTCGAGCTCCTTCACAACAAGCGGTTTCCTAGTCGCAAGTGTTACGTACGCCCTTTCCTTCAATTTATTTGATGGAGAATAATGCACTTAGAAAAACCACAACTAATCTCAAGGCAAAGGGAGAGGGGCAATCGACAGATTGACTCACCGAAAACAAGCAAAGAAATGTGCAACTTGACGATCTTTTGCATGGCATACGGTCAGAACAACGACCGCGATCGACCTACTGGTAACCATACACCGGCAGCAGGCAAAGTGCATCAGTCGGGCGTTGGCGCTACATATAGGGGAAATCATAGGTGGGAACACCTAAATAACCCAAATATCACGGGAGCCGAGAAAAAGCTCTATACTGGTATAAAAGACCGTAGCCGGATAGAGAAGGTAGACAGAGTTCACCCTGATCTCTGATATAGTGCTTACACTACACTATATTCCAGAAGTCGACAATGACGACAGCCCAGACCAGGAATCCTGAAGATACTCCTGTGCCCGTCGATGCACCACAACTCTCCTTGGAAGAAGTCAATAAAAGCCAGCAAAAACATATCCCGAAGGAAGTCCTGTCAGTGACTGCATAAATCAGCGTCCTCGAAGGAAGTCCTGCTCGCCATTTATGAACCACAACCATCATTTGAAGGGAGTTTTGTTTTTGATGTCAGCAGACATATCCAGGGAGAAATCTTTCTGCCCACGATTTCAATAAGTGAAGTCTTGCTACAGCATAGCTTCTAAGGACCAGCATCTATTTGCGATTTATCAACCAGCAAAGACTTCACCATGGGTGGAACCAATTCCAGAGCGGACCACAGTACGGCCAATGTGATCAACACCGTCAAAATAATCGATCACAAGGTCGACATTCAGGATGTGAACCATAATCTAAAAATCGTCATCGGTATATTTGTTTTCGTGGCCATCCTGAAGGTAGTCAAGATGTACAAGCGATCTGTACAAGGTCGCCGGGACCAGAAGCAAGCCCTCGAACAGGCGATATGCCGAGTCTAATTAAAGCAAACAATAAAACAATAAACAGTGAAAAGAAGCCAAAACAATAAATGCATTAATTGCAAACAATAGTGCACCGAAACAAAAATAAAAAAACAAATTGTGAACTCAGGCATTTATGAATGCAAGTGCAACAACAGCGATACGAAGCGAAGTGAGCAAGACATCGGAGACGCCGCTGCCCGCAACCCAACTCATCGGAGAAGACGTGTGCCGCCGTGGGATACACCGACATATCTACATAAACATACATACCTACATATATATATATATATATATATAATAAGTGATTGTGTTTAAGATGTGTTTAAGTTTGTCGGAACACGGTTCCTCTTCATATACCAAATATATATATATCCGTGCACCATGATTAATAATCAGGCTCTAGCGGTCACTCTTAGAAAGGAACCCCATTTTTATATTAAAGTCCAGTATCTATTGTCTAAAGTAAATTCGCCTATTACTATAAATGATTTAGAACTTCTATACATTGAGACCTTCAGTCTGGATTTTTCCCAACTGTTACATTGTACTAAAGTAGAAAAAGCCATAGTCTGTGCCACGGTACCCAAGACTACTGTTAATTCTAAATACTTCTCTAATTAATTTCTTGGGGAGGTTAGCACCTTTGTCATCCATCTGATGAACTAATTAGATAAATAATACAGTACACTACCAGCTATTTTTAACTATATCTTTACCTAAGTTAATCTTTTATAATATAATAAACATTGACTTTTCAGCGGCGAGTATCAGCCTTGTGTTTGTATGAACAATCACAAGAGCCCTCAGAGCGACGTTTGTAGTCGTGAATAGTCAGCAATTTGCTGACGTGTGCACCCTGTACGGGTGGTAAATTCGATACTCTCCGCTAACAAACTTTGTTGGTCAATTAGAATTAAACGCATATGTATTCTCCATAATAATATTACTCATAAATGGCACTAGCCAATATTTTATTCAATAAATTTATAATGTGAAAAACGAACTTAAAATCATGCTGTGCTAGGTTTTCAAGCGGGGGTTGCTGACGCGATAAGTGGAGTAGGTGAAGAATAATGACATAACTTTTGACGAACAACCTTGACAATAGGGGATCGTATTGCGCGGCCCGCGACGATCCATTTGGCACACGAACGTGTGAAGGGGAGGGAATGTGGCCGAAACATTGCCCGATCGTGTTACGATCAAGCGAAAGCTAAGCTTGTGGGGCAATGTAGACTGATGACCGACGGACTTTACGACTCTTAGGGCCGGTTTCTCGAGTGCCGGCTAACATTTCTCGAACAGATAAAGTCCCTGCTAAGGCATTTTGACTTTCTCGAGCACCAATGTGAGAGCTAACTTTGACAGGGACTCGGAGTCCCTGTTAAGCGTTTTCGGCTCGATAGAATGACAGCTGATTTCCCAAAGCCAACTATGAAGAAGAAACGAAATCACAGCTGACTTTTCCTTTGAATTATACCCAAACAGCTGATGAAATAACCGAAGCAAGCCATTTTTTGTGCTTTACAGCACAATTCTGTGCGTTAACACCACTCTGTAATTGTTTCTCGTTCAGATAGTCGAGAAAGCGGATTTGCTTTTACGAACAGTTTATCTGGTATTTAAGTTTTTCGAACAGATAGCTATCAGGGACTTTGACAGGGACTCGAGAAACCGGCCCTTACTATTTTTTCAGGCATCTCAATATTTATTCTCGTTATGTTGGAGAGGAAAAAGTCTTACCAAGAACCCACCCCATCCGGCGAGCTTATGCCGGCAAAATTGGTGCCTGAACATCGGATGACTTTCCCTCGGCCCAAGTCCTTCTCAGGACTGGGGCACTAATATGTCCAGGTAACAGAATTGGCGCCCAACGGAGATTATCTCATATTCCTTAAGGACAAGGATTTTAAGTAGATTAACACGTGCTTATTAATTTGTTTTTATTTCTAAACGATTGAATTCGAAAGTCCCCAACTTCTGCGACAGTCAGAATTGAGCGGCCACTCAATCAGAACTTTGTCTCAGAATAGAGGTATGACTTTAGGAAATTTCATTATATTTTTAGAATCATAGATATCCTTTGTTTCTTTCATAAGAAAAATTACTAAAATTTCCATCGAGAGATATGAGGTTTCCTTTTATAATACTATATAACTATGTGCCGACTGACCCTTTACTTTTTGAAATTAACGTAAATACAATTTAGATGTGCTTTCTGGCCGACGCTACACGACGTACTAGGCGAAGCCTGGTCGTTTGATAGGCTCGAGTCCAGAAGGAGCAGGAGCGCAGACGATACGGTAACGCATTTAGCCATTGCGGTGCGGATCTATTGTGCGATTGTCGATCCAGGACAGAATAGGTGGGTGGGGGAAATGACAGGAAACGTAAAGCCGACGCTACACGACGTACTAGGCCAAGAGTCTGGTCGTTTGATAGGCTCGAGTCTTTACGGCTTCCTTTGACATATTTGGGCGGGGGACGTATTTTAGTTTCTCTGGCCGACGCTACACGACGTACTGGGCAAGTTGGTCTGGTCGTTTGATAGGCTCGAGTCCAGAGAAATAGGAAAACTGCTGTGGATCCCGAGAATGATCGGTCAGATAGCAGCAGGTTGTGGAGCCCGAGAATGATCGGTCAAATAACCTGATTTCCGACGACTGGCGGGAGGGGGATTTCGGACAGACTTTTCTTCTAGGCGTAGCTAGTTCCCATTGAGAACGTTAAAGCTGACTAGAAGGGAAGAAGAGCTGTTAGTTCAGGGGAACCCAGTTGTGTAGAAGCTGCTAATACCTCTAGTTAGGGATATTCGCAAACCTTAGTCAGCTGTACTAGGCTGATCGCGCGTGTGGACATTTAAAATTAGACAAGTGTAAAGTGTGTGGCATTTCTAAAGGACACAAGTGAACACGCGAGTGGAAAAGAAAGAAAAGAAATATACGTAAGACAGAAGAAAAAAAAATCTTTGGCCTAAATGAAGGGGGCAAAGAAAAAAGTGCTTTTCCAATCCATCCAAGGAGAATGACCCGATCAACGACAAGAGAAGCAAATCAAGCACCCAGGAGTGCTAGTGCCGACGACACGCCACGAAGAATCAACTCTCTAGATATAGACAATCTTAGTATATTCCGCGAGCCGGAAGAGCAAGAAGAAAGTAGATCTATTGAAGACAATATGGATCAGTTAGACGATACAGAAGGAGCTGTAGGGGGAGAAAAGTTGCCCCTGGGTCAGCCAAAGGGACGCTCAAGTATGCTCCCGCAATATGAGCCCAATCCGACAAGCGGTTTGGAAGCGGCTGAGAGAAGGGAGCAAATAATGCGCTCGGTAATAAAGCAGAACAATGAGACACAGGCAGCCATACAAGCGCAGATAGAAGCATTAAAGGCGCAAGTAGTGGAACTGCGATCCTCACAATCCATGAGGGTGGTGCAGCCAGTATTACCACCACCGCAGCGGTTCCCGGCACACTCATCGGACAGCTTTTTGTGTTACCAAGAGACGCCTCCTCTCGAACCGCTGTCGCAGGAGACTCTCAACAGTCAGAGGCACCGGCTTCGAGATTACCGGCGCCCTGATACATCCCAATCCCAACAACCTCGAAATAACGGCCCGAACACGAGTTATCCACGACACCCCGAATATGACCAGAGCCCCGGATATCAAGCATCAAAAGGAGTGCGGCTGGACAAATGGAATTTGAAGTTTGACGGAAACAGCCGCGGTATGACCGTTGAAAGTTTCTTGTTCCGCGTTGAACGGCTACAAGTACTCTATCGGATAGAGCCGAGCCAAGTTTTTCGCGAATTCCATAGTCTACTGGTAGGAGCTGCCAGCAAGTGGTATTGGCAGTTGATGACCTCAACTTCGATTACTACTCACTGACGACGGAAATGAAACGCGCTTTTTCCTCC